CTTGGACCTTTCATCTTAGACTCATTCGTGATTGATCCAATGAGAGATATGGCTTAACTACCTCTGTAATTTAGGATCTGATGGGAACAGAAATGAACTAGGCTAATACCACCATATGGGAATGGCTAGGAGGGAAAAAAATTGAGTTAGAGGCTGTACAAGTTTCATCAAAGATGTTGCTTAGAGGGAAGAAAGTGTTTTGAGGAAAGGCATTAAAGGTTTACAGGAGTTGGCAAAGTTAGGGTGCAGGGGTTGTGATACAAGCAGAAACCATACCATCCATTAAGATCATGAGTTAGGACCATTTAAAATAGTGGAATTCAGCATGTGTGGCTATAGCTCAGTGAATAGGGATCAACACAGGACCAGAAGTGAGAGAACATGGCAGGAGACCAACCATGCAAGTTCATAAGCTGACAAAGGCTATCAGATTTGAAGGGAGAGTAAGAAGTTTTCACTTGGGAATTAAAGTACCACAGGAGCCAATGAGTTTGAAGCAGGCTCAGGTGGTGGCAAAGCATCTTCAGGAGGAAGTTATTGCTATGTTCCTCATGACAGTTGACAGAGATTACAACCTAGATAGTGGCGAGTGACTGAACCTTGTGTGACAACCCTCAGGAAAAGAGAAGGTACTTCTGAAGAGATGACTTAGGCAGCTGGATACATGGTGTATTCTTTTGAACTGGCCAAAAGAAGGGACATTAATCATGGGCTATGACTCCAAATATCATGTTTATTAAACATTACAGCTCAGGAAGCTGCAAGCAAAGAAAAAAAATAGAGGAGAAGGGGAAGTCCAGGGCTCTTCAAACAGTTGCAAACTTTCCTCTGAACTGTTTATAGTACTTCTGTGCAAACATAAACAAAATGAGCATATGCAAAAAAGCTCAGCCTGCTCCTGTAGAATTATTTAATTTGCCTTTTAGGAAAACTACGGCACACACTTGAAAGTTCGAAAAATCTGTTTGCAATTCATTAATGTTACTATGGTTTGCTTGGGCAAAAGGCTTTGCCTTTTATAACCAAATAAAAGGGACTGACTTAGAAACAGGAAAAAAAGAGCTCCATTCTCAAGTATAAAAGAAGGTGGGAGGAAACAAATTCAAACTTTTTTGGATAAATAAAATCTCTGGTATACAGCAGAAGGAGAGGCCTGAAGAGTTTGCTAGTTTCAAAGAAGCTCTGACAAATGTTGCTAAAGCAAAAGGTAACATGCCCTCCTGCATTTACACGCCATTTTACAAGCAGGCTTTTCACACTCCAGTAAGAATCACCAGCTCCTATTACATAGTCACCTCACAACCTATTCTACTTTTTCCAAACCAGACTTTCAGCATTGCAAGTATAAAGGACAAGACTCAATGGGATGGATTATTTTTATAGGGTCATAACCCTCAGTAAGTGTCTTGAGCCCTCAGTCTGAGGGATCACGTGTAGAATTTGCTGGTGATATTTTTCTACTGATAGCAATTTCTTTGCCAAGAGCTGATAAAGTAGCAGAGTTGGCACTGGTCAAATTTGAGGAGGTTGTGCATCCCACATCCTTGACCACCAACATCCCCTCTTCCGAACAGCCTAGGCGAAACTGAGTCTATGGACTATTATGAACTTACTCCTGAATTTTTGTGGGTGGTTTGTGGTGAGTTATGAGAGATGAGTGAGTTGGCCATATGCTGGAAGCTGGCGTTAAGTGAATAAAAATATACCCAGCCTGGCAGAGAGCTGAGTGTGCACGCTGCAGAGGTATTACGGAGCGGGCTGTCTGCACTATAAATGCTGAGGAATGTCCGCAGCACCTGCATCAATACGCTGCAATTAAAGTCGCAGTAAAAGTCATGGTTTGCATGTGCATGTGTGCGTGTGCATGTGTGTGTGTGTGCATGTGTGTGTGTGTGTGTGTCTGCATGCCTCTGCATGTGTGTATTTTAACCACCACCTTTCTAGGAAGAAAGAATAGGAGAATGAGGGAGGAAAAGAGGGAGCATAGATAACCCACTCTCTGAATTCACTTCAGAATTTTACCAGTGCTTTTATAATAAATCAAAACACTGGTTTTGACAATGTTTGCTCCTTTTTAGACCATGTTTTCCAGATTTTCCTTCTTTTGGAGATTATTCAGTTTATGAACAACGAAAGCAAATCTTGGCTGGGGAGATAGCTCAGTTAGTAAAGTGCTTGCTATGCAAGCATGGGAACCTGAGTTTGGATTCCCAGACCCAGGTAAGAATCAAAATCCAAACAAGAAAGCACATAACTGCAATCACAGTGCTGGAGAGGTGCAGACAAAATGATCTGTGGGGATTGTTGGCCAGCCAGCCTAGCCAAATTGGTGTGCTACAGGTTCAATTCAAGACCCTGTCTCAAAAATAAGGTAGAGTTGGAGGGGGGAGATGTGGGGTAATTATGATAGAAATACATTGCATGCCTTAAATTCTAAATAAATAAATGAAATTATTAAAAGATAAGGTGGTGATCCATCAAAGAAGATACTTGGTAACTTCTGGTCTCTGATCACTTGTACACACATGCACATATGCACATAGCCACACAAACGTATATACACCATACATATATACACAAACACACACATAGAAGAAAAAATTTCAGAAACATATTGATGAAAGGAAATCAATGGGACCAAAAGAGCCCTCAGACCACAGCATGGGCTACCAAGGGAATATCTCGTCTATGTGTTTTTCTTTGAGACAGGTACTCACTCTGTAGTCCAGGCTAGCCTTGAACTCTCATTCCTGTCTCAGCCTCTTTAGTGTGGAGGAAGTCTGTTAAGTATGTATATGTAGTTCCCATACAGTGTAATCAGGAAACCAAAAAGTTATTAATATTCTTATTGAAAAAAAGAGATTCTCATGAAGACCAAACTTTAATCAACTGATAAGCCCATCTAGAGGGGAAATTTTTCCTCAACTCATGCTAGAATGTTACTTTCAACCATAAATAATCGTCAGGTTATTTCTTACTTAGATGAAATATATAAGTACTTAACTTACTCTTTAAAAAATCAGAAATTTTTGAGACTTTTAAAACATGAAAATAAGTTATAATTTTAACAAGAGATCTGCTACATCATTCTAACTAACTCTCTTTATGGAGCACAAATATATAATAATCTATAACCCATTGCAGCTGTTTGGCTAGACTTACCAATTACCTCCAGTACCTTACAGATACTTTCCAGATTTTTTACATGTCTGCATAGTAAATTTTTAAACCAATTTTCTTAAAGTCGACTGATAAGATTTAAAACCTTTTAGACATGTGATGACGGCGGACTTCACTTAAACAACTTGAATATAAAATCAAGACTTTGCATAACTGGAGGAAGATGGAGACAGGAATTAAAAATAAAACACAACCCAAAAAGCTGTGATTATTTTAAAAAGCATTTATATTAAGTTTGGAACTGTGCTTTTAGCTTGCATTTGAATATGGGTGTGGTAGGTTTATGGGAAACCATGTCAAACACATCGCAAAGCCTGGTGACAAGAAACAGGATATTTACAGTCTGTCCTTGTCCCCTGCTCTGATGGCTTCTGGTGCAGCTGCACTTTGGAGGGTCCTGTTAGCATTCAGAGAGCTTGAGGGTCTAGAGACAGGTAATTAATGGTGTTCCTTCCCAGGACCTCCACAGGCAAAAGTAAACGAAGAGGTTCAGGATAAAGTGACAGCACAAGAAATAACTTGATTAGGCAGAATCAATAGGAAATGCTTGGGAAGTTAATAATGCAATTACGTAAGTAGTGAGCAATAGTGTGGGGGTGGAGGAGCTGGGCAGAGAAGTCGTATATATTACCCCTCATGTAGCCAAATACTGAAGAGGGGTTGGGAGATCGCTCAGTGGGTAAAGTGTTTGCTGTGCAGGCCTGAGGACCTGAGTTCAGATCACCAGCACAGACACAAAAAAGTTGGTTGTGGTGGTGTGTACCTGTAACCCTAGCACTGGGCAGGGGACTCTCTGCCTAGCTGAAATAGCAATCTCCAGGTTCAGTTAGAGACTTAGTTAAAAAAAAATAAACTGGAGATGGAAGTGAGGAAGACATGTCAAAGTCAACCTTTAGTCGCCACATAAGCCTGCACTTGCGGACACACACACACACACACACACACGCACACACACACACATACCCCAATAACAAAGAGTTGGCTATAAAGTTTATCAAGTACAACTCCCCATTTTTCTGCCTTTAACTGGCACCCCATATGTGTTGCTATTAATTTTCTTACCTTTCTTGTATTTTTAGTCCCATATTATAAATTTATATGTGTTTGTCCATGTGTAAGGGGGTGCACATGGACATATGTATGCCTGTGTACATGTAGAGGCCAGAGTTTAACCTTAAAAAAAACTTTAAAAAGTATGTGTGTTTTGCCTGCATGTAGATAAGTACACCTGTGTCATGCAATGCCTGCGGAGGTCAGAAGAGGCTGTTGGATCCCCTGGAACTGGAGTTACAGACAGTTGTTAGCTGCCATGTGGGTGCTGGGATTTGAACCTGGGTCTTCTGCAAGAACAACCAGTGTTCTTAACTGCTGAGCCATCTCTCCAGCCCCTAGAGTTCAACTTCTAATGACTTTCCTCAGGAGATATCCACTCTGTGTTTTGAGACAAAATCTCTCACTGGGAGGTGAGGCTTGCTGATTAGGCTAGGAAGGCTATTCCCCTGTCTCCACCTCCCTTGTTCTGGGAGTTGAAGCCTATGTTAGCACATAGAGCTTTTTATGTGGGTGCTGGGCATCAAATTCAAGTCCTCATGCTTGCTCAGCAATCACTTTACCAACTGAGCTATTTCTCCAACACCCATAATGCATTTTCTATTCTAATTGTGCATGTTTATGGGATGCAATATGATCATCACATGCACATATTACAATGTGCAATTGTAATGCTCAGATGGGGGTAGTCAGCAATTCCATTTCCTTCAACATTTTTTAAAGAGTTGTCTTGATTCATGTATAGTGATGACCTCTTTTTCTTTAAACAGAGCAGTGCGCCTCTCTCATCCTTACCTGTCTCTTCTGCCAGTTTTGGGACTGCCTCCTAATGCTCCCTGACACATGCGAAGCAGTGTGCATCAACCTATGCTGCCCCTCTCATAGGTACCACCATGCCTCGGATGAGAACCATCCACGAAATGACTGTAACTGCACCTGTGACATGGACTGCAGCCTTTTTGAATCCTGCCATGAGACCAGCGAGTGCCTGGAACTGGCCATGGAGATCTCAGAAATCTGTTACCGCTAGCACAACAGCGATGCATGTGGGAGAGCCTCTTGGTCAGGATAGGAAATTCCATTACAACACTCTAGAGCTCCATGTACCCAAAGGCAAGAACTATACATATTTCTTGGATGCTCTGGGCCATTTTATACTGCACCTGTCTGGGAAAGCTGATGTTGTCAACTCAATGGTTTTGTTTCAAATTTCACAACCATGTGGCTTGCTGAAAAACAGGATTCTTGATCACATATGATGAACAAATCATGAATAATTCTTAAATGCCATAGGTACAGGATGTTTCTTGACTGTAAAATAGCATGCTAAAGAGCCCTGTGTGCTTGCACTGAGCAGCCTGCATCATGGATTCAACCTCATTCACGAATTCAAGACAAATTAGTGCTTTCTTTTAAAATTGACATGCATTAGCTCATCTTTCTGATGGACTCATGCATAAACATTATGCATTATTGGTTATTATTAATAATGTATTGTATAACATCATTTGTAATTAAAAATTTATTTATACAGTCTCTTAAAATTCACTTATATGTACAGTTTAGATAGGACAGGGAATTAAATAAATTAGAATTAGTGTTCCTATAATTATAGCAGATGTCTCAGAAAGCTCTCCAACCAATGCATCTTGAATTGTATACTCCAGGAGAGCACTATAATTGTAGACCATATCATTATATGTCTGTGGCTGCATCCTAACAGGTCGGGCATATTCTTAATTTGTTACAGAAAGATGCTTATTCATTCCAATAAGCATAAGAAAGAACAAAATGTAAGTTTCAGAACAGGATCTCTGATAACCACCTCCTTCCTGCTTGTTAAGCACAATAAGCAACAGATTGTTAAAATGCATCGGTTCATTTTATAAACATGCATAGGTACCTAAAATAAATACACAAGCAGGAATTTCTTCAGTCCTGCATTCCCAATACAGCATGTACTTGGAAACGATAATTCTTTTATTCTGCTAATGAAGTAACTGATGATTATATTGAAAACTTTTTTCTTATAATATTTTAAAAGGCATGATGTAACCTACAATATTCTTTTCAATTCAAATAAAGTAAAACAAATACTGTGCATAGAAAGCACATGTAGGTTGGAGTAACTTTGGTATCTCTACTCTCTGTGGGTATAAAACAGGGAGGGAAATACATGGCTCATTGGATTATGTTTGTATGTTCCTATGGATGCAGCTCAGTGTGTTTATTTAGAAAGCACACTGTAACAATAACCAAACACAGAGTGGGAAAGTAAAGGAGCTGTGAGATACTTTTTGCAAGCTAAAGAAATAACTACAGTCAACAAACTCTAAGATAACTTTTTAGTTAAGTTTAGTTTTTACAGGCATTAGATCATTATAGACAAAAGCAATGTTTGTGCAGTAAACATTTTTTTAATCCTCAATAAATTCTCCCAACTTTGGATAGAAATTTTCTTTAAAAATACTGCTGAGCTACCATGGGAACAGATTTATCTTCTCCAAGCATTCTCCTGGCATTATGGTATATCCGCGGTTAATGCTGGCTTTTCTCCTGTGACTATCATGTTGTTCACGAACCACAGAGCATGAGACCACTCCATCCCCTGTCTGAAATATTGCATCTTCTCTTCCTTTCAGAAGCTCAAAGGCACAACTTCATACTCTGTACATACAGCTTTAGAGTATGGAAAAATAAAGGGAAGAGACTTGGCGGTGCATGCCTGCAATCAAAGCACTGGGAGGGGGCAGGTGGGTGATATCAGGAGTATCAGGAATTCGAGGCTATCCTCATCTATATAACAAGTTCAAGGTCCATCTGGGATTCATAAGACCTATCTTTATTTATTGTTTTGATTTATTTATTTATATTTTATGTGTATGATGTTATGCCTGTATGTGTGTAAGTGCACCCATGTCGTGCAGTGCCCATGGGGGACAGGAGAGGGTATCAGATCCCCTGGAACTGAAGTTATGGACAGTTATTAGCTGCCATGTGGGTGCTGGGATTTGAACCCTGGTCTTCTGCAAGAACAGCCAGTGTTCTGAACTGCTGAGCCATCTCTTCAGCCCCGAGACCTATCTTTAAAATAATAGTAACAAATAAACAAAAAAGGCTTGGCCAACAGGAAGGGCACCTAGGGCTGTTCTGTTCTTCTCCTTTCATAAAAGACATTTCATAAAAGACAAAGGAAGCCCCAAGAATGGACAGAACTAAGACCACACAGTGAGTTCATGGCAGTTCTAACTCAGGGTCCAATTCTGCTGCCCTGGCCCACAGTTCTTCCCTTCTTGATGAAGTTAATATTTAGTAGTCCAGATGTAACAGCAGTCACAAAACTCTAAAACAACGGCTGCCACACTGACCACAAACATTGGCAGCCTTGAACCTTCGGTGCTTCAACACACCCTAGCCATCCCGGGCCCCTCTCCATTCACCTAGCCCTCTACATGGTCTAGCCACTAAAGAAGAAGCACGTGGGTCTCTAGGGCTCCCTGAGACTCCATCCTGACAATGTGAAGGTCCTTGGCCTCACTGCTCAGCCCATATCAAGTTTGTGTTCCGTGTTTTTATTACCGGATCCTTATTCTTTCTCATGTGTAAATCCTCCAATTATGTAAAGACTGTGCACTTCAAATGTGAAACCAATGATTGTCGATTAGAGACATGAAAGTCACCAGGCTATTTGACAGCATGGTCAGAATCCTCTGAGATCATTTTGTGGCCTGATCATGCTTTCCACAGTTTGTTAACTTGTTTCTCACTTTCAGGATTCACTGTGCTCTACCAGAAAGGATCATTTATTCAAAGTGTGAAATCTCTTTTCTTTATCACCAATAATAAAGTATCATCCTTTTTGCAAACATGAATGGTTATTTCAACCAAATTTCTACACAATAAAACATGTGCATCAGGGAAAATACAATTCCAGCAGAAAGGCAGATCAAAGCAGAACATGGTTATTGATTAAACACAGATATCAAGCTCTGAGATGGGACTAGTATTTTGCAACAATGATGAAAGTTTGTGATTAAAAATACAGATAATGTACTTAAGGGTAGGGCTTCCTAGAGAATGGAGCATCCTGACTTAAGGAAGTACATTAGTACAAAAGAGACTGGGGAATATACAACCTTTACAGAGAATGGAGAACAGAGATTTTCCCCTCAGACACACAGTAATAAAACCATATAGTTACACTGCCTGCCAAAATATGGAAAGTCATGAAGAAACAAAGTTACATTTAACTTGCTAATGAAATCTCCCCACTAAATGAACTCATAGGCCTACAAAATTAATTATAAATGCTGGACAATCAAAGTTAATAGAGTGAAAGTCACTTCATTTTTTTTTCTTCCAAGAGAGTCAGAAAAATATATTCAGGCAGGGAAATTTTACCAAGAGAAAATCTCCTGGATGAGCATTCAGCATTGTTTTTAAGGATAAATATACAGATGGAAGGTGTTTGAAGGAGAGATTTAGTCATCAAGAGCCAGTAAGTTTCTCCCTCCACAGTGGGAGGGAAAGTATATTGCATCCTGTGATTGCTTTCATATGTAAAACAATCAACTTACTAAGCAGGAAAGGTTTATTATGGCTCATAGTTTTGGCTCATAGTTTTGCAGGTTCTGGTCCACAATTAGATAACTGTGTTGGTATGGTGTCTAGAGTGCCTGACAGCATAAAACTATTCATATCATGACCAGAAAATGGATCAGAAAAACAGGAAGGACCAAGTGACCCACAGTCTCCTTCAAGGGCATATCACCAAAAGATCAGAGGACTTCCACTAGACTCCACTTCTTAAAGGCAGTCACACGGGGAAATATACCTTTTTCATCAGGACCTTTGGCCACTAAACATCCAAAACACAACCGTGGACACTTTGCGAGGGAACCCACCTGTAACAGTGTTACCACTCAACTGTTGTGTTTCTTCAGGCCCTGTGAATTGATAGCCTCTGAAGAAATGTTCACACTTTGTTTAATAGTTTGTTGGGTGTTCTCTGAAGAACAAATATGAGCAATAGTCCAGTACTTGCTGCATATAACTTCAAGTGGGTTGGGTAAAAGACCAAGGGGATTGAGAATTGGTAGATATCCTAGGGCTATAAACAACATGGTTATTGGAAGCTTCAGAAATAGGTCTAGACAGCTCCTTACATTATAAAGAAGGGACAGAGCCCTCCTCTGCAATGATTCCTATGTCTTGGGGGGAGAGGGTGTGCTAGAGATGTTCCATTTAGGGCTAAGTATTCTGCACAGTCTCTTGTTCTATGTATCTTGGTCAATTGAGGGTATTTATGTTAATCACCATCTACTGCAAAAAGAAGCTTCTCTGCTGAGGTTGCACTAATTTATGGGAATAAAAAGTCATATGGAAACTTGCTACTATAGAAGCTTCACACACACACACATACACATACATACACATTAAAAGAGTTTAAGTATAGTTACCATATAATAGGACAACAATGCCCTACTAGGCACCATAGGCTAACAAAAATAAAGTACAGTACCAGAACAAAAAAAAGAAGAGGCCGCAAAGGGGCGGGGCCTGGAGAGGAACTGAGGTGGGGTACAGCCTGTGTTAAGGACACATACCACCTTTGGTCTACCATCTGCATATATTGTACAGCTTTATTTTGGCCGTATCTCTAAATCAGTGGTTTCCAACTGTGGGTGATTTTGCTTTCTCTTTCTGTGTGGCGATATCTTGAAACATGACTGTCACACAATATGACTAGTTGGTGGAAGCCAGGCACACTGTTGAAGAGCCAATGACATATAGGACAGCCCAAGGATGGTTTGCTTGTGAAATGTCCCCCAGGTATTTTAAACACTTCATGACAGTGGGTGCTGTGATTTGGGGAGGTTGTAAAACCATGACAAAGGGAGGCATGGGGAGAGGCCTCTGAGGGTTATAGACCAGTCCCACTTCTCTGCTTCCTGGTAGGCACCATGTAATAAGGAGCTACAGCATACTCCCCTTACAAAGGACCAAGCCTGCAGTCAAGCCATGCCATCT